AATTTTTTTCAGATACATTTCCATTATACATCCCATACGGACGCCACTGGTAGGAATAATAAATATTAAAAAATCTCCCGCCTCAAAAAATACTTATTGGTGCTTAGTAGGTGCATGTCAAATTTCATAAAAATATCTAGAACAGTATTGAACTTATGACGAGAAAACAACATATTTCTTAAAATATGATTGTTACACCCTATAGCTCGAAAGTTAAGTGGTTTAAGGCCATATCCTATTTTTAGCCATCAATTAAATCACGCCCGGTAATAATCATTAATATTATAACATAGTAAATAATGTTTTTTTTCTGCAATCGACTAAAAAGTCGTCCATTTTTGTTCCAAAATTAGCTCTTGAAGTTGATGTTTCTTTTACTGACACATTAAATGATTACAATGTATGTCGCTAGGCAACACTAATATTTTCTAGGAGCTAAAGTCGAAGTTTAACTCCTAGGAACTAAAAGTATGTCTGACGACAGCTGATATGAAAGCTGCTTTGACATACTCAAGTCACTCAAGAATAGTGGTAACTTCACTTGTATTTTATTAGATATCAATTATTTCGATTGCAGAAAAAAAAAGCATGTTTCATTCGGATCAAAAGTGACTGTGTTTGACTCGCAAAATTTGCGTGCTCGGCTTCGCGTCGCTCCGCCTCGCAAACGTAAATTTCCTTTATCAAACAAAGTGTCACATTTGTTCCTAATAAAACAATGTACTATTTCATCTTTCGGACCTCCACACAAAATTCTGCATTCCCTTTGCAGTCTCATTTGAGAGAGAATTGTGAACATGGGAATTTGTAAATTAAAAAAATCGTTGAAATGGCAATAAATATGAATCGTTGATCATATTCGAAATTTTATAGCAATGTATAAGTGCGTAACTGGGGTGGATAGTGAGAAGAAAGGGGGGTGCCTAGGTATTATTTCTTTTACACTTTTGCAGTTTGTGAGTTCTTGGAGATACTTATACTTCCCTTGAGAAAAAAATCGGAAATCTATGTTAATCGCCTGGAACTCTATAAGTTCCAATTTTTTCTTCTCATTCTTCCCTAGAGAAAATATTCGGAATTCTGTTAATTATCTTGAACTCTGTAATTTCCAAATATTTCCTTCTCATATACTATCAACGTTTAATATCTACGTATGGAGGTGTGTGTATGTATAGTTGAGCTAAAATTAAATACGTTTGTGTACTGTTTTCTCAAATAATTAACACTGATCTCAAACAAAAATTCTTCGAAGTATTAACGCACGAAATATTATTGGAAATGGAAATTACCTATAGTTTGCAATGAATTCAAAATCATAAAGAAAAATGTTCGCGAATGGTTCACATTCACATACAGGGTCCCCTCGATGTCATAGGGATAGTATTTCTATCACCTAAACGATATGAGTAGAGTTGATCGAATTAGACGAGATGCGTAATTTAGACCTCTTCAAAATTCCGTTTTGCCTTTCATGAAATATGTAGATAAACTGATTTTGTTTTTATCTATTTTCTTAGTTATTATTTGAAAACGAAATTTTCAAAATTTGGCGTAAAAAGTTAATTAATTATGACAAAAGAGTTGAGATTGTCAGAAATACAGATTGTCTGACTTTAAATGCCCCCTCCTGTATATCTCAACCATTGGAATCGCACGACTGAATGCTGACATATAGAGGGAGGGCCGTTTTGAATTAAGTCACATTGTATATTATATTCATTAGTTTCAGAGATTTAACATGCAACTTTTGTTTTTATTATGAGCGCAATATTTGTTTTTTACACCATGGAATAGGACTAAAAATTCCCTTCACAGTCATTCATAACAAATTGACATAATCACGAGAATCAGTAGAAACCATTTTTCTGCTGGTTACACTGCATAAAATCAAACCGAACTGTATTGGATTGAACTTCTTCGTCATGATATTAATTGCCTTTTTAGTACAGTGTGTCCCGCTTTTCATGAATACACCCTGATCCTTAGTTATTAATGATGATATTCTCTGGAAATTTTAGTGGTGAATCATTTGTACCATTGTCTGCTACATATGGAGAAAAAATCTAGTGGCAAATGGCGTGCAATGTTGAGGGGTACAAAAAAGGTCATTATTCGGAAAAAGGATAATAGGGCTTATTTTGAATAACTGTTTTCATCAGATTCAGAATCAGCATCTTTAAAAACCCCCCAATTCATATTTTCAAAATCTCAGGAAATATTCAAAATCCCGCTTTTCATGACTAAGCCCCAAAATCTCAGTTGTTAATGATGCGATTTACTCGAACCTGTGATGGTGATTGTATGTTATTTTTTTAACATACAATCACTACCAAAATTTCAAAAAAATCGCATCGTTGATAACTAAGATTTAAGGGTGTTGTCATAAAAAGTGGGATTTTGAAATCTTTTATTTCAACTCTCGGCGTCTTGAAAATGTGAATTGAGGGGTTTTCAGGGATGCTGATTATGAATCTGATGAAAAAAGGTATTTTAAATTAGTCCTAATATCCTTTTCCCAAATAAAGGCCTTTTTTGTACCCCTTAACATCGCACACCAATGGAGAATGAAACTTTTCATTCTGCTACATACTTCCTTATTCTAACATACAATCACTTAAAAAATTTCAAGAGAATCGCATCATTAATAACTGAGATATCAGTGTATTCATGATGGAAAGCGGGACACACTGTATATACAGGGTGGCATTGAAATGAGTGCAAATATTTCACACACTGAGAAAGCTCGATGTGTACTATCGCATGGCACTAATTAAAAAATGTGGGGATCAAAAAAAATAAAATTTGAGGTTATACCCCTTTTTCCACCCAAAGTTCTACACTGTAGCAAATCTGACGACGTCACCTCCGTTCTAATTTCCATGCGGTAGGCACAATCACGCAATCATTCAAATTGTTTTAAAGTGGCATAATTGATTTTTTTCTCGTATTTTTAGTATGAAATTTCTCGTTAATTATAAGAATTACAAAAAATCTGATATAATGGGAGTATTCCTCAGAATGTATCATACTAATGTGCTGAATAATATGTGCACTTATTTCAAAAACACCTTGTATATATACACTGATGATGACTTTTGTTGTGCTTGTTCCGAAAAATGAGTCAATAACACCCGTCTCCGAGAAAGAAATGCAAGTCCTTTATTTATTATCTTCCAGTCCACTTCGCGGTTACTTAAATTACTAAACAACCACATAGTTCGCAAATTTTTAAAATAAAATCACAATTATATCCTATATTATCTATATTATATAAAACCCATAGTAGTCCAGTGTTTTGGCTGTGACTAGTGTGAAAAGGTATGATAATTTGGTTCATTTATCAAATTGCACTGCAAACATTCAAATATAACGGTTATTAGTATATGATGAACTAGAAATATTGTTCAAACACCTTTTAGTTCGAGAATATTGAACGTGAGCACATTCTGAAGCTTGAAGTGTACCTATGTAGTTGAAGTCATTATAAGATACAATTAGTTGTAGTAGTGATATGGTAAGTTCCATTCTACTATTCAGTATTAAAAATGTCTCTACTTCGTGATAATTTCCAGATCGCCTACATATTATTGAAGAAATAGAAGAAATTGAAGAAAGGAATGAACGTCAAATGGGATATTACCAACAACCTGTCGATAAACCGCCACCAAATGTAAGAATCATAAATTTGAATAGGAAGATCTACTATCCAGTTCCTAAACCTGTCCCTGGTGCTCAAAACTATAGGGCCACTGGGGCCTTCATAAACCAACCTAACATCGGTAATACAAGAAATATTTCTCCATATAACAGTGGAAGACCATATACTAATTACTATCGAAATGATGTCAGATACAGTGAAATTCCACGTTATTACTCAAAGAGAAGACCAGATGTACCAACTCCAACAAGAACAACAAAAAAGCCAAAAATAACTAAAAAGAAATTTAAACCAATGTTTGTTATGGCTTGATTTAGAGTTGATAATGAAAAACATCCTGTATTCTATGATTATAAACAGTCCCACTTTAAATGCCCTCTTTCCTCTTTATCACTTTTAGTTATTGATCAGCCTGTATATTTCAATTTTGCTGAATATATGTAACTGAATAAAAAATAGTTATTTATTATACAAGGGAAAAAAGTAGTAGATTTTAGCTCCAGGTTGTGTTGTCTTCCGACGCGTAGCGGAGGGAGACAACAAACCGTGAGCTAAAATCTAATATTTTTCCCGTGTATAATACACTATTTTTTTCTGTGACAGAAGAAAGGACGAATCAATATTGAGAAGATATTACATTATTTTGATATCTGAAAATTATCGACGTGAAATTTTAAGTTTTTAACAGTAGGGACACCGCGTTGTAGGCATCTTTATCATTCATTTGAAGTAATCAAATATCTAATGTCACTTCTGTCAGTCTAATTTAGTGATTTTATTTCAAGAAATTGCGAATTCAGTGGTTATTTAGCAATACACGTAACCGCGAAGTCGAATGGAAGATAAAAGGATTTGCAGTTCTTTCTCGGAGACGGTATTAATTATTGACTCATTTTTCGGAACTATAGCACAACAAAAGCACAGCCGTCTTCAACTGGTGAAGTTTGGCAGGCTAATTCTGGGACACCCTGTATATTGTTCCTTTAGTTTGTTTGTTGAATAAAGTTTAATCAAATTGAGTTTCCTATATTCATGGAATTGTCTCACCAAATACCAGTCGAGCTCAAATCTAGCAGGATAATTTTAAGGTAGTATTTAAAAAAAAACACAAAAAGCTCATGCCCCTACTTCTTTCATTTGCCTCAGGATGGTGAACAGTGCAAAGCCATAGTTTTTTCACCATGTATTAGAATTCTTAAGATGATTGTTCAGACATTCTGTATATACCCATACAATTTAGGCAGATGAGAAATCCTAATATTATGAAGAGCTTGATGAAATTGGTAGGCCAAAAATCAAATAAATCAATACAAAAATGATAGATTGAAATTGGGTACAAAAACCTATGTTATTCCTTTATAACAAAATATAATATCCAGGAATTAAATTAACATGTTCATCAGTAGGATTAAGACTTATTTTATATATAATTAATTATGTTGTAGCAAACAAATACAACATAGCCCTGACAAACTGTACAATCTCTGATCCTCCTAATTTTGATTCCCCATAAACCCTATCTACAAAAGTGATAGGCACTTCCCCCACTGTGAAATTCAGCTCTCTGGCCCTTATAATCATTTCCATCTGGAAAACATAACCTTTAGAAACACAGCTCTTGATGAGTTTGTCTAAAACATCCTTCTTGTATAGCCTGAAAGATCCTGTAAGATCTGAAGCCCCTGGTCTCAGCAGAAGTTGAGTCAGGAAGTTGGCACCTCTGGAAACTAGTTTCCTTTTGAAGTCCCAACCAAAAACACCTCCAGAGCCTATGTATCTGCTTCCAGAAACTACATCAAAATCTTCAGATTGTTGTTTCTCTATGAATTGTGAAATGAATTTGGGCTAGAAATTGAATTATTGAATTAATCATCCAATTTGAGTTGCATTATGATTGACTAACAACTTACATGATGGCTAAGATCTGCATCCATTATAATGATGAAATTACCAGTAGCATGTTTGATACCATGAATGTAGGCAGTGCCTAAGCCTAATTTCTTCTCTCTAGGTCTCAGAATAATTTTATCTTTGCCATAGATATTCTGCAGTTGCTTGGCAGCCTCAAGGGTACCATCTGGGCTACCATCATCAATAACAATTATTTCATAATCATATCCACTGGAATATATAGAGTTCTAGATAAAAAGGTGAAAACAAAATGAGTGCTATAAACTTCATACTAACCTTTTGTCCAAATATTTAGTAAGTAGATAAATTATTATCGGTAGGTTTTCTAGTTCATTGTATGTAGGCAACAAAATAGAATATTTGTTTTCACTATCCCTCATTTCTTCATTGGCCATATCATTCACAATATTGAGAGATTCCTTGTGAGATACTCTCGGAGATATGAATGTGATCGATAATACCAATAATAATGATAAATAAAACTGGTAATGCACCATCCACCATAAAATAAAAAATAATGAAAAATTTTTCGAACCACCTAATTTTAATTTTGACTTTTGAATACTTGAAAAGTTGAAAACTGCCACGATTAAAGTTGTCAGGATGTCACGTCAATCGGACAGGACAGGGATATGCCGTAAGCCATAGTCGCCCACAGCTTTATCTCAAAGACACTTTGGGTGGATATTCGATTGGGACAAGCCTCATTAAGAAAAGAAGAGGCAGTGACTTGTCATGTTTGACATTGACATAACTGGCTGTATGTCCTTTGACAAGAGGCCACAAAACTAGAAGAAGAAGAAGACATTGACATAACTGAGTTAATGACAGTTGAGCTTCTGAAAATGGCGTCATACAATAACAAAAATATGCAACAATCCGATTTGTTTAGTTGTTATTTATCTTTGAATGTAAATAATATTTGTCGGATATGTCTAGAGAAAGGTCCGAAGCTTATGCCCATTTTTGATCCCATAAAACCTCCCCATTTCTCTATATTAATGATGGCATGTGCTGCTGTTCAGGTAATAATTTGGGAATATCATATGATTTCTATGAATATACTCATGTTTGATGAACGGTATTTAGAGATATAGCCAGAATGAATGAATATCTACCTGATTTCAGGTCATACAGGGCGATGGACTTCCGCCATACATTTGTCAAAAATGTATTTCTAAACTAAATGTAGCATTTCAGTTCAAAACTCAGTGTGAAAGCTCTGATGCAAAGCTCCGTCAGTGTTTTGATAACTTTCCACACTTACCTTCAACTCCTGATCTCTCTGGTTTTCTCAATTTCAAAAAAGATAATGGCACATTCATCCAAAATAATGATGGAGGAACTACTGATCTACATACAGATAAGCAACCAGATATTCAAATTCAAAGTGGTGATGGATCTATATCAGAACATCAAATTTTGCAAACTGTAGGGATTGACACAGACCATTCATTGTATGAGTTTGCAAATAACAGTTTAATTGAACTGAAATCAGAACTTGTTGATCAAAATACAAATGAAATGAAAGAACTGAAGGTTTGTTGTAATTATTCCTGCAATTATTATGATTGATTGAGAAAATTGATTTCAGATGGAAAACATGATTATAGTAAGCACATCTGAAATTAGAAATAAATCAAAAAGACATCAATGTGATACCTGTGGTAAAAATTTTCGCACCAAACCAGGCCTTGTACATCACATTCGTATCCACACTGGTGAACGTCCTTACCAGTGCCATCTTTGTGACAAGAGGTTCATAAATGGGGGCCATTTACACACTCACATGCGCACCCATACTGGTGAAAAAAATCATGTATGTGCAGCTTGCAACAAAGCATTTGCTACTGCCCAGCAATTGACCAAACACACAATAGCCATACATACTTCAGAAAGACCATATGGATGCATGTACTGTACAAAGAGATTTGCCAGTTCCAGTAATTTGAATACACATACAAGAATACATACTGGTGAAAAGAATTTTCACTGTGAACTATGTGGGAAAGCATTTTCTACAAAGGGGCAACTGTATCAGCATATGTTGGTGCATTCAGGTGTGAGAGCCTACATGTGTGAATATTGTAATAAGAGGTTTTCACAGAAGGCTCATCTCACAAGGCATATTAAAATACATCAGTCCCCACCACCATCTACTGCACCAGTCTGAATCAGAAGATGTTGGACTTTTCTATTGTACCTAAATTATTTAAATTGATTATACAGAGATTTTTGTAGCATCTTGAGAGCCATTATTTGCCATCTTTCATATTTTCAATTTTGCAATAAATATTTTGATAAACGAAAATCATTTTGGCATTAGTGCTTGCTGCTATGCTGTGTACTTGCTACTTGCATAGTGTGGCAGCGTGCATAGGAAACTAGTGACTATGAGGTTACTAGGGTACTATGTAGAGTCGATTAGGGTCTAAGTCAGTCAGTTCATAGAGAAAGAAGAAGAAGAAAAGGGGTTATGTTGATTTGTTATGTTTTTGTTTGGAAAGTCAAAAAACCCAAATACAAAAAAGGAAAATGGTGAAGATATCCAAAGTTGTTGTTTGTGGAATGAAAGGTGTAGGAAAAACCGCTATATTAGAACAAGTCATATATGGAAATATCGATGAAAAAACGGTGAGTTGACAAATTCACAGTAGATATCCTTGAAGTGTCTATCTTGGTATTTTCATATTAAATTCATAAATTTGCAAATCATTATTATCAATTTGCTGTAGCAAGAACTTGAAACTACTTTTTGTCTTGAAGGAATTACATCCTACCATAGAAGACATCTATGTAGCTAATATTGAGTCTGACAAAGGTACAAGAGAAAAAGTAAGATTCTATGATACTGCTGGCATTGAATACTCACAAATCACCACCTCCAATGGTATGACCAATCAACAGTTACCAAGACACTATCTTATGATGGCCGATGGATATATTCTGGCTTATGATAGTGCTAAAGCAGGTTCTTTGGATGTACTGATGTCAATTAAAAAGGACATTGACAAAAATAAAGACAAAAAAGAGGTATGTCCAGCCTATTTTCCCCTTTTTTATTCTTTAAACTAGTTTTTTCTCAGGTAACCATTGTGGTGTTGAGCAACACATTTACAGATGGTGAGACTGATCCTGAAATGGAATCAAATGTGAGTAAAGCAGTGCAGTGGTGTACAAGGGAAAAAATAAAACATTTTACTGTGTCAGCTTTAAACCAGTCTACTCTATATGAACCTTTTGTATTTCTCACCAGCAAGTTGACTCCACCTCCTAGTAAAAGTGGTTTCACTCCTTTGTCAATGGGGAGAAAGGTCATGAGGGATTCAAACTAAAATTATTGCAACTCTCTGTTGTAAATTTCAGTGATCTGGACTTGGATCTGGTAGTCATAAACTGAAAATACTATTTATTTTTTTGTGGTAATCATTCCTTTTTTTTTGTTATTGTTCTTAGACTAAATGCACTCATGAGTTGTGATATTATTGTTCAGTTAATATTTTCAATGGAAAAATATATCACTACATGTACCTACAACCCATTGCATTTTATTAATATCTTGGGGGTTTTTCAACTACTACAGAATGCATCATTCCAGAATTATATCCAAGAGAAAAATTTTTTGAAAGTTGTTTGATCACCATCAGCTTTTATGGAATTCTCTTGAAGAATATTTTATAGAATTCCACAAGTATCAAGATTGCATCCCAAACCAAGAAATTTTTATGGACTCCATGTCAAAAATTGGGAGTTCTAGTCCAAGAACTAGTTGCAACTTTTTCGACCATAATCTGATAAGGACATGATAAATATCCAAAAGGCATGTAAAAACACTGTAGATTTTTGAGATGTACCATTCAATTGATGTCGGATAGAATAATTATTCTTTTCTCGTTATCAAATCACAGAAGTGAGTGCAAATTACCGCACAGGAAAGTGCAATTTTTCAATCATTCCGCTCAGGATAGTTTGGCACAGGTGCCGTTCGATAAAATACAATGTTTTTACATGCCTTTGGAACATATAACATTTCATAATCAGATGACGGTCCAAATTTGCAGATGGCTCTCCTACTATTTTGAGTTGCAATCTTGAATCATCTACAGAATATTTTACATGAAAATATCGAAGATGTCCCTGAAAGGTCTGTACAAAATCTAGTCCTGAGTTCAAAATAAGCCGATTTAAAGCAATTTACCTCAGTCCAAAATTGCTCCGCTTCCAAGATACACGGTGGTAAATTCAAAAAATAAAAATCGGCAAGAACACCCCAAAAAAGTATTTTGAAAAACCCATTTTCGCACCGCTTCGTAACTGACCAAATTACATCCACGAAGAAAACAGCAAACATGCATTTTTTATACAAAATAATTTGAATATTCCGTGACGGCATCGAACACTTAAAACCGAAATATCTCGAAATCAGCTGAATTTAGTGAATTTTCACAGGAGCACTTTTTTGCTTCAAAATGTTCAGAAAAATATTTCCTCGACAAAAAAAATGAAAAACTACACTGAGAAAAAAGTTATGGCCATAACAAACCATAATAAGTGCATTTGTAAGCGCTCTAATCGTCATAGTGAAAGAGTGTCCGTATTCGGGTTTCAAATGCCAAAAAGTCGTTGGCTACCAATTTCCGAAGTGATACTTTCAAAAACAACACCCCATATCTCGCAAACGAAGTCTTTTACGACTTATGTTTATCGAAACTTTCATTTTCTTGAGGCGTCCTATCACCTCGCAAAGTGCGTCTCACATATAACGAAACACCCTGTATATTCCCATAATGAGCAATAAATGACGAGTGCATAAAGTATTAGCTCAACTACCGTAATAATAATTCAGAAAGATTAATATACAGTAGGAAGTTTTTTGCCGTACGTCTAGCGCCAAAACTAAGCAATTAACTTTGCTTGTATCGAATTGTTTTGGTCCGAGTTCTGTGTTAAAAGCTTCTGTAAAGACCTATTATAGGGACACCCTGTATAAAAATATTCCTGAATTTTGGCCCTTCATGTCGATAACATCAGCATGGTTTTACTCAGAAATAATCAACATCCTCAGCAATTCAATCATACTACTCGGAAATAGCAAACTATGTAGACGTAGGCGAGTGCCCTGTAGGAATTTTTATAGACCTGAGCAGGGCATTCGACTGCGTGAGTCATGAAATTCTTGTCGAAAAACTGTACAGATACGGAATAAGAGGAATCGCTCTCGCATGGATATCCAGTTATCTATCAAATCGTTCACAATTTGTCTCTTTGCAGAATTCTCGGTCTAATGCCAAGAACGTAACCCTGGGAGTGCCGCAAGGGTCCATCCTCGATCCGATACTTTTTAACCTCTATATACGAATGATATTAATCAGTGAATGTTCCAGCATCCCTCACCTGTTATGCTGATGATACCTCGATAATGATCTCTGATAGGGCTGACAAAGAACTAATTGGCAAAATTGACAACACTTTCTCTATTCTACAGGAATGGTTTGCAAACAATGATTTGTTCCTTAATAGCAGCAAGACTTCATACTTCATCAGTTAGATTCCATACGAGACAAAAACAATGTAATGATCTGAGCTTTAGGGTTGGTGAGTCAATCCTAAACACGAGTCAGGAGGTTGTTAAATTCTTAGGCGTATTTCTTGATGAATGTCTTACCTGGAATAAGCACTGTGAATACATTGTGAAAAAAATTAATGTTATAAATTTTCAACTCAGGACTCTGAGAAATACCTTGAATTTAAATCAATTGTGCAGTAGTCTCTACTTTGCTCAAGTGGACTCACGTATCCGATATGGTATATGTTTCTGGGGGTCATCTACATCAGCGAAGGATATTTTTCTGGCTCAAAAAAAGGCTTTAAGAAGTATGATGGGCATTCAGAGAATGGATTCCTGCAAGCCTTTTTTCATAAGGTTGATGATATTAACGCTGCCCTGCCCCCTTATATGTATTTGAATAATGTATCTATATGTATTTGTTAACAAGCAACTGTTTGCTCGCAACAATGATAAACATGATGTGAATACTCGCTCGAGGAACGAAATCTATATTCAGCCAAGCAGAACAAATATTTTCAGTAATACACCAAATATCCTAGGTCCTAGAATATTCAATAACTTACCTGAATATTTGAAAAACGCAAAAAAAGTATATTTTTTCAAAAAATGCTTGAAATCATTTCTCATAGAAAAGTGTTTCTACTCGCTTAACGAATATTTTCATAAATTACCATGTTTCCCTCTTTTATTTAATGTTCGTCTATCATATTATGTAATCTGTCATTTATCTAGTTTTAGATTTATATATTTGTAACAACCTGACTATTCCTATACTTTTTTAGAAAGTCTAAAGGAAAATAAAGATATTTCTTTATTTATTTATTTATTTATATAACATGCCTATACGAGTAGATCATCATGTATCCAATGGGCTTATATCACAAAAAAAAAATTATCTTATAATTCCATAGAACTCAACCAAACTAGCTCACCACCGCAAACCGTTTCTTGCTGTGAGCTCCCTACGTTTCATAAATAAATAATGAAATCCCCGATTTTTCGGACCTCTGAAATCGAGGCGATGATGTGACGTCAAAACCCTAATACTGAAACAAGACTATTCCAGACAGAGATGAATGATACATGATTTCTGACAGAGTGAATTAGCGCGAGATCACAGTTGAAAGAATTAATATATCAGTTGCCTCAGTCTCCGTCGGGCGTTTGGTATTTTCTTTCAACTATGGCGAGATGAGGTTTCTACGTCATAAGAGGGTCCGTTTTCAGAAGATTCTATTATTTATGTCCAAAAATAAAACATTCCAGTTAATTTTTCGATCGAATTATGACCTCAATCATTATTTATGTATAAAAGGATCATTATAAACATGGTTTGAGTCAAAAGTTCTACCAAGGTGTACACGCCCATTCAGAACGAATCAAAAATAACTACTCACCAGTTTTTAATTTTTCTAATTCAATGCACTGTCCTTTTGTATTGGAAATGGTTCTGCCAATTGGAGTGAATAGAAGAAAAAACATTGAAATTCCGAAAAATGATTTGCCAACCTCTCTAAAATTGTATCCAGTATCCAGTGGCCAGCTGTAGGTAGATAAACTGTCAAGATGCGGTCTGATAACCCATCAGAGAAAGAATGAGATGGGTTGATGAACGTTGCTGATAAGCCGAAACGGGGGATTT